GAGATTTTTCTTGGGCGTAATCTGCAGTCATCGCCTTAGTCACACGTCAAAGGGTTTCGGTTGGCGCTGGCGTCGAGGTGATGGATTTCCAGTGTCTGACAGTTGCACTAATAATGTCACGGTGAAGGATTGTTCGGGGATTGACTGTCACAAATCTTTCTGGAGTGAAATAATTTTCTGTTCCTGCGAGAGGACAATAAAAATCAAACGACACTCTGCTTTCAGATGTTGTCACTTCGTCCAGAGCTGTAATGAAACGCCAAACATATGACTGTGGCAGCGGTCCTGTCGTTTGAATATGTGTGTGTGCGTGTGGGGGGAGATTATTCGCATTTCACTCAAAGTTTAGAAGGTTGAGACGAGGTCCAGGAGTATATGCTGCTGCAGCTGTAATCGCACGGAGGACAGGAGATGTGAGTCAAAGAGGGAGGAAGGGAAGGTGGCGAGTGACCCTGCAGACAGGCTGATTCTGTCATTTCAGCGGTCCCTGCTGTCACTTTTATTCACATCTCTAAGAGAATGGCTGGGGTGAGAAAAGAACAGGCAGGGATAATGAAGCCAGTCCTGGAGGCGACGAGATACAAGAGGGAGGAGGCAGAAGAGCGACAGGGGTGATGATGAATAAATGAAGAGCAGCAGGGCTGGTTTCTGCGAGTACGTCAAGGTTGGAGCTGCATTTACACCTGTCCCTCAAGGCTGCAGGGCGGAAAAGGCACAAGTGGTGATCAGATCAGTCGAAGCAGTGTCCTTGGCCAAGAGTCAAGATGCTGCTTCCCCCCCGGGCGGCAGATGCTGCGTTGCAGGTGAAATCCTGCTGACTGCAGACACAAAACGCTCTCGGGACAGAACATAGCAGACGCTGCGTACCGGACTCCCCAACAGCTCCACGGCTCTTGTTACATAACGCCGTCAGCGCGGTGAGATGAATCCGTATAAATGAATGAGTGAATGGAGCAGGACACAGAGAGCAGCGGGGTGACGGTTTCAGCACATCGTCTCCCAGTGGAGCAGCAAAATAACACAATCAGACACATATATATGTATAAAATAATGGATGTGACTGTAATGGAATATTTGGTCTGTTCAAATTGCACAAATGATTTGCTGTGTGCTTGTTTTAGTGTCTGAGTCTCCTGCTGCCGAGACAGCGTTTCTTTGACAAGTGGTCTGTGGTCGACCCCGCTGTGGTCGAGTGTGGCAATAAAGCCTCCCATCGCCGCGCCCCGTCCCTCGCTCCGATTACCTTTGCACAGCTGTGCCTGCCATCGCACAAATAAAAGGCAAACTCATAAGTAGTCCACAATAAAGGAGGGCTCACTTAATTTGTCGTAATCCGCCGCAGCCCTGCCGTGGGCCGAGGGTTTCATTTAAACGCGTCCGTCGTGTTTGATTACAAGACGAACGACGCCCATTCATTTCCACTGGATACGAGCTGGGATCAAAGTCTGCCAAGCGTCAGGATTACGAAAACAATATCACCGAGAGGAAAGGCTGATTCACCGAGGAGGAGGAACGACTAACAGCAGCCATTCAGCGAGAGAGGCGGGTGTTTGTTTCTAAGATCTACAGTCAGATCCTTCAGCAGTGTTATCTTTAAAAGAGCCCAAGTATACAAACATGCGGCGCAGTGTGTCATAACGCATCAAGGCCAAAGCCGGAGCGCTCAGTCGCTCTGACACGGTCTAATTTGGCGCTTTCATTCCCCTCCTTCCCACTCATGATGCAGTGTTTGATCAGCGAGAAGGGCTGCCATTTTCTGATCGCAGCCCTTCAACAGCTGTGCTGAAATTCACATCTAAATTGAAATGGAGGCAAACGTTACCAGCCCCCCCTTTTTTCCCCTATTCCCCCCCTTTTCCAGGCTTCTATGCTAAAGATTTATTCTGTGGGTGATAAACAGGATGCAGCTGCTCTTGAGCCTTGGAGGAGCTGGAAACTGACAAGTGTTTTTACTGATGTTTTCTGAGGCCGGGCCAAGAGTCTCAACAGCTCCCTCTAAAGTCAAACGGCAGACGAACAAGAGGCGCACAGAGTGAAATGACAAAAACAGCAGCTCGCCGTGGAAACCAGCTAATATTTATGCAGCCCGTGTTATTTTTAGATCAGCACGCGTTTGCTAATGCGTGACAACAAAAAATGGCTCTCTTACCACTTCATCCTCAGACCAGCACTTCTCTATCAGTTTGGGTACCGGCTTTTTCACCAGACGCTGCAGAGCCTTGCCGGCGTCGTAGCTGCTCTCGTGAAGCTAGAGGGGAAGAAAAACAACAACAACAAATAAATGAGAAAGCAAACAAACATAGCTTTTAAAAAAAACATTTATAAGGGTGCAAACTTTCTTTCCAGTCTCACTAAGAGCCCTGAGTAGTATTCACACCTTTTAATGAGCTCAGAAAGCAACGCGAAAAGATTTTACATCCAGGTGTGACTGAAGCTGTTACTATAAATGAGAGAGATGTCACACACTAAAGACCCAAGACCCCAGCTTAGATATAACAACAATAACAGTGACAAAATCAATCGCCGTGCTTCTTTTAAGCTTTGTGTCACATTCGGCTGGGCGAAGCAGACAGCGCTGGAGCTCTTCCTCTGAGAATAAACAAGCATCACTCATTGGAATTGCAAATGGAGAGTAAGGTCAAGAGACAGTGACCTGCCCGCCATGTTAATTTTCCAGTTTATAGATTTGGAATATAGATGCCCTGTTTATGGTGATTATAATCTCTTTCTTGCTCTCAATTCCTCCAGTATTCATTATCAATCCGACGAACAAACCTCGCGTTGTGCCTAATGCACTGCCGGCTCCTGAGGATGGGTTTGCTGAAAAGGACTTATCACTGCAAATCACTGCAGTGAAATCACAGCTGAACGCACCGTACAAATCTCTGCGATTCATCGTTAACTCGGTTCATTTTCTGTGATGCACGCTCGGCTCGCAGTTTTAAGGCTTGCTGCAAGGCTACTTACAGTGTTAAGTGCGTTTAATGTAGTGTCATCTCGAGACGCTGCTAGACACCCGTCTTCTGTTGAGCCTCCATCACACATCCCTGCGAAGGCAGCCATGCTCCTGTGGAAGCGACAGAGATGATGTAACGTTTTAAAGGAAAGGCCACAAACCTAGCTAAATCATTCCCACACAAACATAAGCAGAGGACACCTGGAAACAGTTCCTGCCATTCAAACGTGGCTACCCACATAATGTCATAATGTTGAATAAACAGCCTGCACACTACCTCAATATTGAAACACAGAGGTCACCTGACTGAACAAATATGATTGCGCAGTCCATTTATGTGCATATCTGCAATTATATGATTAAGATTTACAGTCAAACAAACATGTGATTCAAGTGCAGACTTTCAGCTTTAATTCAAGCAGTTTAACAAAAGTATTTCATTAACCCTTCAAGAATTGTGACCATTTTCATAAAGTCGCCTATTCATAATAGGGGGCCGTGTATAAAATCTAACTGGACAAACTAACCCAGTATTAAATAAAACAGCTTGTCTAATGTGATTTCCCTGTTCTTGAGTGTAACTGGTGGTTTGCACCTTATTCTAAACTCTACGTCCATTCACGAAGACTGACGATAAGCCAACCTACTTCAGCTCTTGACGCAGTTACATCTTACAAAGTTGTTTTTTGTAACCATGGAAATAATTTAATCATCATGCAGTTTAGTTGTCTTCTGTGGTCTTTCAGGGCTTTGGTGTTGCTGATCAGTAGAGGTGGGAATCACCATACATCCCACGATACGATTATCACAATACTTAACGCACGATACGATATTATTGCAATTTTTAAAAATATTTTGCGATATTCAGATTCTGTACATAAAGGTAAACTTTATCAATATTCATTTTATCTAATATCAAAGTCTCACACTCAGTCTTTCTCTCATTTCAGTTTTATTGTTGACAAACTGAACGGTTTGTATTACAGTCTAGTCCAACTTAACTGAACGCAACCATCTGGTACAATTATAGCTATTCTGAACTATGCAGTTTATGAAAACTATGCAGCCCATTCAGGAACTGAAGAATTTGAAAGTAAATTAAAACAAAATATAATTTTACATTAAATAAAAAAGTTTTAAACTTAATTAAAATAAAACATGTCTTAAATTAAAATAAGTAAACTGTCATGTTTATTGCTGCCAAAAAAAAGTTAAACACATTTGGACAGTGAAGGAATGTCAGGATTCTTGCTCAGAAAAAGGATCAACATGCTCTGAAGTCAGAGCACAAAAACCTTTTTTGTAACAAAATATCGATTTCTGCTGTCCCTGTATCGATACATTATTAGCAAACAAAATATCACGATACTACACAGAATTTCCCCCACCCCTACTGATCAGTCCTTTCATTGTTTTTTTAAATAAATGAACTAGTTTTTTGTTTTGGTCACTCCTGAAGTTTCTGATCTCTCTTTGATAGTTTTTCCCCCCAACCTTAATGATGACTTCACTCACTTTCACTTATATCTCACTGGGCTTCAAATTTAAAATGATAGTGAAAGGCTACAAAACATAATTTCAACGCTTTGAATTGAATTCAGATATTATGTCTGCCTCATTTGTTAGGGAATAATAAAGATATTAAAAAAAAGAAAAAAGGAGGGTTAAACAGTAGATCTATTGAATAAATCAGTGCTGCTTAAGTGAGATGCATTTTGCTGTAGTTTCAGCTTGGCGTGCACCTCTTCATTTGTATAACCTGCTGTGGGTGGCACGCTGCCAGTATCGTGCCAAAAAGCAATCGCCTGCGAAAAACTGATTTCTGGTATTTGCCAACAAATGATTTTGGGAATTTAAACTAAATAAATGACTTGTTGGAGTGTAATTTGTCAAACACATCACTCATGAATAATAAAAAAAAGTCACATTGAGCCAGAAAGAACAGTAAGGCGAAGCTGCAGTTTGTGGCAAAATGACTTTTCTATATATTTCCCTTTATTTATCCAAGTAAAAAGTATCACTGACATTTAAAAGAAAAAGTCTTTTTCAAGACTGATCAGGCCAAGAAGACCTCAGAAATGTGCACAAATATAACATCACAGCTCTCTAAAGATATTCTAAGTGGCCAAAAAAAATACATATTGACTATGATGCAGGTACAATTACACAGATACCTGCAAAACGGGTCATTTCTTTATGTTATACTACTACAGTCTATCTGCCAATATAAGCAAATGTATTAAAACACTGAAACCGTAAATAGATCATAACTCACAAAAGTTACTGCTGGCACCTGCGGCGTGCTCGTGGGCGCGCTGCACCTCATTTGTAGAAAACATGAACAGCTTTGGAAAATCTTACTCGCACATCATAGTTTATAAATCATTAACAAAATATTGTTGTTGAAATTCTTGAATCACGCAAAAAGGTAAACACTGGTGTTGTTATCAAAGTTTGTTCTGTTATGTACCGATTTTTATGACAACACCTGTGCTCACGGCAGCAATTACGATCATTATTTCACTGGCCAAAACATTATGGACCCGAGTGTAATTGAGGTAAGGCTAAACATAAACTTCAGTGGAAGTTGTGCAATGCTGTCTGGCATGGTGGCACGCAGTGATTAATTACACTGTGGCCTCTGACACAGAAACCTGTCAACACACATCACTGCAACTGGAACAACATCCCATCGAGCTCTGATGACCGATTGCATCCCAAGATACAGAGTGTGATCAGAGGGCAACACTAATAAAAATCAATAAAATACCAACTTCAGCAATTCCCATCCTGGAATTGATCCTGGACAGAGAGACATGATCATGGCATTTACTTTCACTGACAAAGAGTGTTTTATTCATATTTGTAGGTCAGGAGTCAATTTAAAAATCACTTTTCCCCCCCTTTTTTTGTGTGTGTGAAAAACCTCCAACAGCTTTAGACCTTGCATAACTGCCAAGTCTGAGGCCCTGTGTGTCTCTGGGCTCACCTTGCAGCTCTGAGGTACATGAGAAGGTCACAGTCATTGACCCCTGGCATCCAGACCAGCTCCTCATTCTCGGTTACGGCCTGGCCACCAGGGGAGGGGAAAGGCTGCAGCTCCGGGAGCTTGGCCTAATTAGGTCCACGGAGGAGGAGAGAGACAGATGGTGTCACACTACAAATAGCACACAGACTTGAAGAAAATATCCTCTTTCAGCCGCCTGTCATCAACTTTTCACTGTGCGTTCCTGAGTGGTGGGACGGCAGGAAGCTACTGTCACAATAGTTTAATACACAGTATATATGACACCGAATTATAAATACTCTGAAGGTGTTCGTTTAAGAAGGGATTATGTAAAGATACCTGACATTAAGGGGAGGGTAACACGCACACAACTTTGTAGAGTTTCAGCACAACTAAAACCAGCAGGCGCAAACATTACTGTGAACAAGCATGCAAACTTAATCCAATCAGTAATTTCATTCCGATGTTCCCAGGCAACATGGAAAGATTTATAACCGTGTGATGTTTGCGTCAAAAAAAAAATATTTTAGTGTATTTGTAAAATTAACAATAACTGGTGCTGTGAGTCCTACTAAGTGCAGGCCGGTCATTAATGACAACACAGTAAAATACAGCTTTAATCTGTTAAATAATACACATGCATAAATCACAATGATTCTGCAAAACAAGGGCACAGACTGTTACACCAGTGCTCTCTAAAATCTGGATCTCCTGAAGTAATTAAACAGTAAATTCTCCAAGCTTGGTTAAATTTGCTGCCTGTGCTGTATTTATTGCAAAAACTGTAACTCTGAGTTTTTGCTGGAAACCACTACTTACGTCTGTGACGCAGTACTGAACACAAGACTTTTGTGAATCTAGCCACAAAGTCGGTGAACAGAAATATGATAATCGCTGGAACGACTGAGCCGGATATCAGGCGCTCAATCTGAGAGTGTGTTCACATAAAATAAACAGATGAACAAAAAAATCTCAAAACTAAAAACATAATTCCCACCCAGAGATCAAATAATGCAATTATTAGTCTCTTATTCAGGTGAAGCCCTGCAGTTTGAACATTAATGCGTGTGCTGAGCAACGACTCACTTGGTGACTGGGTCCCACTCGGATTTCCCCCTGTGTGCTGTTTAGTCGCCTGAGAAGAAACAAAGAGAGCAGATTGAAACAAAATATTTACACGTCACCATTTCAAAAGCCGGCTGTGAGAAATCTGTCAGCTCTGCAAATCCTGTTTAATTAACTAAACAACTGCTCAAACGGCAAAAATCGCAAACTGACGATAATAAAAATCTAACCACTCGTGACCAAGACTAGATCCAACAGAGACCAAGTGGGGATGGTCTGTATTTATTCGTTTATTTTCAAATGTGGAAGTCTTTACGGGGAAAAAGTACAAAGTGTTTACAGATTTGGTTCCTGCTCGCCTGCTCCTGCACAGCGAGCCGAGCAGTGCACATTTGCAGGCATGATAACGTGCATGCAGCAATAAAACAGAATCCCAAAAAAGGAGAAGGGGGGGAGTGGAGGTGGAGGGGGAACTGGCTCTGGATATGCAGGGTGAAAACGGCTGCTGGTGCAAATGTTGGTAGCCATAGCAACTGCAATTTAATAATAGTGTACCGAATCTCCAGCTGCAGTGGATTAAAGAAAATGACAAGATGTTCCTTTTGAAAAGCCTTTTCCCCTCGGTCGCCTAGGCAACAGCGCCGATTTTCATACAAGCGAGCGCAGAGCAGCCCAGAATCTGTCAGCGTGATTTGCACCGAGAGAAGCTCGCACTCCATCACCGGAGGAAACTCGAGAGGCCGCAATCCTCCCGTCCTCTTTACAGTCCTCAAACCACGCGAACCCAGCGACGGGCTCAGCTTTAGCCCGTTTCCCCTTCTTAAAAAGATCCCCTCAGACAGGAGAGTCCGATTAAAGGTTTAATCCACATCCGTCCATAGATGTTATGATCTGCCAGAAGCGCTGGCAAAAACCTCCACACCAGCACACTCCAAAAACCCGAACCTCAGCTGCCAAAACACCGCCCGCCGCTCCGAAACATGTCGAAATACTTCACTTGGTTTTATTACCAACGCTCTCAGCGAATAAGACAAACTCAATATAAAGCACTCAGAAACTGGCAGCTACAGTGATGAATAGTGCTGATAAAGATGAAATACGGTGGTTCTCTGCGTCATCAGCACTCCAGATAAAACTATAAAGGTTTCATAACAATTTCATAATCCCACTTAAAGCCGGGTTTCAGACACCATTATATGTCTGAAACTTCCCAAACAGTTGTGAGTGGCGAACAATGAACAAACAGTAACCATTCCTTTTGATTTATTAGAGCAGAACAGATATACCCTCCACATCTGCACATTTAAACGCCTGCATGACAAAGGGAGGAAAAAAAGAGGAAAAAAATGATTTAATTTACAGAGTGTGTTCCTGCACACAGTGAAAAAAGTTCTCACAAAACGCGTTTCTGACAATGTGCAGTCGGGCCAGGTCCACGGCACATTTGGCAGGAGGCAGTAAGGATGACAAATGAGGACCTGTGCTCCAGAATGAGAACAGTGTGTCTGAAGACAGCCGTGCTTTAATGCTGCGCAGGTCCTGAGAGAGGAGGCAGAATACAGATCGCAGCAGGAGGTTTAGAGGAGTTTCCATAAAGACTGCAGGTACTCTTAAACAAAAGCAAGCCTGCAACACTGTGATAAAAAAAATATATGCATATATATCAAGCATTCGTTAATCATGCATCCAGCAGCTGATTTTTATACTTATTGAGAAATCCTGGTCATCAGCTTAATACAATTATTCATAGCAAACAAAGGAAGGCATGGATGGATGAAGCACTATCTGGGCAGCTGTGCTCAGAGTATTCATAAAATACTGCCCCCACTAATAATGACCCCCCCACCCCCATTAAGCAGCCCAAAGCCTGTTGCCTAGCACAGTAAACACTATGAAAACATGGCCACTTGTTACAACACGTTCAGCTCTAACTCAGCATTAGCACACAATCTTGTCAAGTAATTACAGGCTTACTTATCAAAACCCAAAACAACAACGTGACAGTCTGGGCAACTTTGTGTGCAATCAAGGATAGCCCCGCCCCCTCCGCCATCAATTCCAGCCAATCGCTGCGCTAGACTGTGGCACACTGACATAATTGTAGCGCGGCAGAAAAAAAACAGAAGAAGGAGCAGCAGACTCAAGTTGGTGTTGTTGGTATCGTGATCGGTAGGTTTGTGTAAATCGCAGCTGGCAGCAGAGCCGTCTGAGCTTTGCCTGCACCCCCTCCCCGGCATTGCTTCATACGCCATGTCATCATCACGGTTGTAAACAGGAGATGCAAAATGGAGCCAGGGAAGCCTCTGCTGGTCTTAACGCAAACAATATAACCACACCGGCAGCACGTTCACCAGCCCCACACTTGCGGATGAACACCCCCGACAATGTGCGTTTATCGGAAGCTTGAATGGAGCGCATGCACAAAAAGGTGCGGAGCGACTCCAGACGCGTAACGGTATGCGAGGCTGCGGTGACAGCCTGCGCGTCCAGAAGCGTTCGGGCTCCCGACACTCGGTTTTTTTCTCCCCCGCCGCCGACACACAAACACAGCCGGTTAACACAATGACAGCGGCGCGGACGGCTCTCACACACATCACACAGTCCTGTCAGACAGCTGGAATGCGACTCCATGAAAATAAGACGAGCCAAACACTCGCGCACTCGCAACCGATAAATGGCACGGGGAAAGCGCGACAATGTGATCGCAAACCTACCTCCGGGGACTGAACAAATCGTCCATTTCTGACATCGAGCCCTAAGGTGGGGGTGCTGACACTGTGTGTGTAACGCTGGTTGAAATTAATTCCCCTCTCACACCTATTCCTAGGTGCTCAAAATGGAGAACCACGCATTCGCTCCCGGAGAGGTATTCACTGAGCTTGTGCTGTGACCTCAGCCAGCACGTACGGCGTCGCAAGCTCGGCTCGCTCCTCTACACACACTACTGAGCATGTGCTGCGACCTCACACACACGCACGCACTAAGAGGCAGGCAGACACCGCCGCATGCGGGATACGGAATTCATCTCTCCTCGTATGTCTGCACCATAATAAACAAGAGTGAAATTGCAATGCTGCAGACGCCGAGCTCGGAATACCAAACGAGGAGGGAGGAAGGGAGCGGAAGACCGAGAGTGGAACAGGGGGCCCCGATGGAGGGGGGTTCCCAGCTGGCAACCATCAGTGCCAACAACAAGGACAGCTGTCACTGCAACACGTGAGGCATTCCCCGCACAACCAGTGATAATAACACAAGGGGGGTTCTCTCATTTTGTACTCGTCCACTTGAATGAATGAATAAGCTCATCGTGTCCAAAGAAATGTTATATTTATACTGAAGGGCATCAGCGTAAAAATGCATCAGTTAAAGTGAAGATCAAGAGATCCAACATATTAAAAAAGTAGAAATATTCAAGTGTAACAGAAAAATAGTGGCGGGCGGGTCGATACCAACGCTGGTATTAGTATCTGATTGATATTAGCCTGATAGGATCGATACTTTGTTTCCATCCTCCAAGTTCAGTATGTAGAACACTGAATTGTGCTTCATTAATAATTGTTTGGTTGTTTTTTTTGTTTTGTTTTTTTGGAAAAACTATGAAAAACGTTGGAAGGTTTTTGATTTGACTGTCATGTCTGTTTTATTTACAGCTTATAGAACATTTAAACAACAGAACTGGATCCAAAGTGCTTTAGAGATGGGAACATTTACATTACAGGTCTCCAATAAATAAATAAATAAATAAATAATGTCAAAATGCAGAAAGAGCAAAAGGTGTGTTTCGTACACAGTGAAATCACAGTGATTTAGTGGTCATTAAAATGTGCAGATTAATGATGATTCATCTCAAATCATGACATACTCCTA